TGATCAGAACATTCTTTGTGTAAGTATCTTCCAGAAGTATCTGGTTTTCCTTCACAAAACGTTTGTTCTCATTTTAATTTGTTGCTTATAGTTTGCATTAAGTCTTATATTTTAATTCATTTTATGTGCCATTTACCTAGAAAATTACTAATAAGAAAGAACCATAGCAACTAAATAACAACTGATACCTCTTGGAAAGGCTTAAATGAGTTTTGAATAACTTCTTGATTGCTACTGTAGCTAAAATATGTGTTTTGTGAAAAATGCACATTATATTATTGTCATGGTAAGAAACTGAGATAAATTACAGGTAATTCTCATTTTGTAGTACCGTTTCTATGGTTATATAAGCAATTTATGTTACTTCAGTACTTGTTACCATGGTTATCTCAGGTAATTCCAGGTTAGTAAAATTAAAATGGTGTGGGTATTTTTGTTTGTTTGTTTGGTTGGTTGGTTTTGTTTTGTTTTGTTTTTGGTGATGGTTGTTGAGTAACATCGTTCATGTGGAAAGAAAGAAATATCCCTTATTGGTAAAATAGAGTATTTCACTTAGTCGTGGTACTGGATAACTGGAGGAGAGTAAAAGAGTGGGCAACTCATTCTTATGGGGAACCCCCTCCTCTCCTCTCCTACCGTTAGACAACTGTGAGACCCAGGTATCTCGAGCAGCTCCAGTTAAGCTCTCGCACATGATGGGCTGAGCCACGGTAACAGACGGAAAATAAGCTCTAAATCCTAACATCCTCTCAGCTGCTTGATATAAAAAGAGTGACAGAAAAATTAATGACTGTGAGCTCAGAAACAGAAAGCGCTGTCCAGATGCTTGTTCCGTCGTTGTTGCTGATACTGTTTCTATTGTTTATTCATTTTTCTCTTGTTCTCCTCTGATGAACACACGAGCTGACATAAACTTAAAGAGGAGATACGTGTATCGGAGTAGATGCCTGAAATGACTTTTGAAGGTGTGATGGTGGGCAGGGAAGATACCTTTAGTACAGGATTGATGCACCAAGCCTGCCAGGGAAAAGGGAGTGGTAGAAACTCCACTGGAAGAGCATGGACATCCTCATGGGCAGAGCAACAACGTCCAAAGCACATGCTACACTGTATTTGGCCGACGTTAAGTTTCTTCTGGCTACCAGTTGGGTTTTAGCCAAGGGACCCCACTAATTAGGCATGTGACCTTCATTTGACTTGGTAGTAGTCTCTCAAAGTCAGAAACCAAACATACGGCCCTCCCCAAGAGAGCCTTGTGAGTTAAATGGGGAGAGAGAGACGTCGCTGGAATTTTGCAGCATAAATGTTGTGTGACTTTATCTTAGTTTTTTTCTCATTATCTTTTTCTCACTTTTCTTACCCCCACAGTTTCTTAGCTTTGCTTTCTTGCCCTCCTCATCCATCTGATTTAAATTTTACATTTTGTTGTTTCCTGTGTATTTCTGTTAAGCTCTGATAAACCCTTATGAGGCAGAGTATGGTATAAGTTAATAAAAGTAATAGAAGTTAGGAACCATTATTGCAATGACAGTATAAAAGTAGAATAAGAACTGCACATACTGCGTATGTGGACCCATGTACAAGTGTGCACAACACTGTTGCAGTTAAAAATCTATATGTCTACATTCACATCTGTCTGTTTTTTAAAAATGTTTGTGTTATTTGAGGGTTTGTTTGTTTTTTTTTTAAATTTATTTATTATTATTATACTTTAAGTTGTAGGGTACATGTGCATAACATGCAGGTTTGTTACATATGTATACTTGTGCCATGTTGGTGTGCTGCACCCATCAACTCGTCAGCACCCATCAACTCGTCATTTACATCGAAGGATTATAAATCATGCTGCTATAAAGACACATGCACACATATGTTTATTGTGGCACTATTCACAATAGCAAAGACTTGGAACCAACCCAAATGCCCATCAAGGACAGACTGGATAAAGAAAATGTGGTACATACACACCATGGAATACTATGCAGCCATAAGAAAGGATGAGTTTGTGTCCTTTGTAGGGACATGGATGCAGCTGGAAACCATCATTCTCAGCAAACTATGGCAAGAACAGAAAACCAAACACCGCATGTTCTCACTCATAGGTGGGAACTGAACAATGAGATCACTTGGACTCAGGAAGGGGAACATCACACACAGGGGCCTATCATGGGGAGGGGGGAGGGGGGAGGGATTGCATTGGGAGTTATACCTGATGTAAATGATGAGTTGATGGGTGCAGCACACCAACATGGCACAAGTATACATATGTAACAAACCTGCACGTTATGCACATGTACCCTAGAAGTTAAAGTATAATTAAAAAAAAAAAAAAGAAGACATACATCAGAGACAAAAAATAAAGTTTCTTTCAACTCTGATAAAAAATAAAAAATAAAAAAATTAAAATAAATAAAAAAACCAAAACAGACATGACACCATTGTATATTTATAAATACATATAGAAAAATAGAAATATCAAATATTGTTCAAAGAAAAAGAAACCTGAAACTAAACAGAGTTGACACAGACAATTGTTCCATCTTTGGCTGATCAGAACATTCTTTGTGTAAGTATCTTCCAGAAGTATCTGGTTTTCCTTCACAAAACGTTTGTTCTCATTTTAATTTGTTGCTTATAGTTTGCATTAAGTCTTATATTTTAATTCATTTTATGTGCCATTTACCTAGAAAATTACTAATAAGAAAGAACCATAGCAACTAAATAACAACTGATACCTCTTGGAAAGGCTTAAATGAGTTTTGAATAACTTCTTGATTGCTACTGTAGCTAAAATATGTGTTTTGTGAAAAATGCACATTATATTATTGTCATGGTAAGAAACTGAGATAAATTACAGGTAATTCTCATTTTGTAGTACCGTTTCTATGGTTATATAAGCAATTTATGTTACTTCAGTACTTGTTACCATGGTTATCTCAGGTAATTCCAGGTTAGTAAAATTAAAATGGTGTGGGTATTTTTGTTTGTTTGTTTGGTTGGTTGGTTTTGTTTTGTTTTGTTTTTGGTGATGGTTGTTGAGTAACATCGTTCATGTGGAAAGAAAGAAATATCCCTTATTGGTAAAATAGAGTATTTCACTTAGTCGTGGTACTGGATAACTGGAGGAGAGTAAAAGAGTGGGCAACTCATTCTTATGGGGAACCCCCTCCTCTCCTCTCCTACCGTTAGACAACTGTGAGACCCAGGTATCTCGAGCAGCTCCAGTTAAGCTCTCGCACATGATGGGCTGAGCCACGGTAACAGACGGAAAATAAGCTCTAAATCCTAACATCCTCTCAGCTGCTTGATATAAAAAGAGTGACAGAAAAATTAATGACTGTGAGCTCAGAAACAGAAAGCGCTGTCCAGATGCTTGTTCCGTCGTTGTTGCTGATACTGTTTCTATTGTTTATTCATTTTTCTCTTGTTCTCCTCTGATGAACACACGAGCTGACATAAACTTAAAGAGGAGATACGTGTATCGGAGTAGCTGCCTGAAATGACTTTTGAAGGTGTGATGGTGGGCAGGGAAGATACCTTTAGTACAGGATTGATGCACCAAGCCTGCCAGGGAAAAGGGAGTGGTAGAAACTCCACTGGAAGAGCATGGACATCCTCATGGGCAGAGCAACAACGTCCAAAGCACATGCTACACTGTATTTGGCCGACGTTAAGTTTCTTCTGGCTACCAGTTGGGTTTTAGCCAAGGGACCCCACTAATTAGGCATGTGACCTTCATTTGACTTGGTAGTAGTCTCTCAAAGTCAGAAACCAAACATATGGCCCTCCCCAAGAGAGCCTTGTGAGTTAAATGGGGAGAGAGAGACGTCGCTGGAATTTTGCAGCATAAATGTTGTGTGACTTTATCTTAGTTTTTTTCTCATTATCTTTTTCTCACTTTTCTTACCCCCACAGTTTCTTAGCTTTGCTTTCTTGCCCTCCTCATCCATCTGATTTAAATTTTACATTTTGTTGTTTCCTGTGTATTTCTGTTAAGCTCTGATAAACCCTTATGAGGCAGAGTATGGTATAAGTTAATAAAAGTAATAGAAGTTAGGAACCATTATTGCAATGACAGTATAAAAGTAGAATAAGAACTGCACATACTGCGTATGTGGACCCATGTACAAGTGTGCACAACACTGTTGCAGTTAAAAATCTATATGTCTACATTCACATCTGTCTGTTTTTTAAAAATGTTTGTGTTATTTGAGGGTTTGTTTGTTTTTTTTTTAAATTTATTTATTATTATTATACTTTAAGTTGTAGGGTACATGTGCATAACATGCAGGTTTGTTACATATGTATACTTGTGCCATGTTGGTGTGCTGCACCCATCAACTCATCATTTACATCAGGTATAACTCCCAATGCAATCCCTCCCCCCTCCCCCCTCCCCATGATAGGCCCCTGTGTGTGATGTTCCCCTTCCTGAGTCCAAGTGATCTCATTGTTCAGTTCCCACCTATGAGTGAGAACATGCGGTGTTTGGTTTTCTGTTCTTGTGATAGTTTGCTAAGAATGATGGTTTCCAGCTGCATCCATGTCCCTACAAAGGACACCAACTCATCCTTTTTGATGGCTGCATAGTATTCCATGGTGTATATGTGCCACATTTTCTTAATCCAATCTGTCACTGATGGACATTTGGGTTGATTCCAAGTCTTTGCTATTGTGAATAGTGCCGCAATAAACATACGTGTGCATGAGGGTTTGTAAATTAAATCATTGCTAAAAGCGTAAAGCTATTACATATCTAATTTTGCCCAACTTACATAAATACCAGGATTTTCCAGTACAATTCATAATCTAACAGAATATCTTATTGGGAAACCATAAAACCAATTCTACATCTCTTTATGCCAATACCAATAGGGTGCATATTTCAGTAGATACGAATAATGTGTCCACTACATTCTAGGAAATGTATGTTACTGTATCTCCAGGAAAATTTGTGGATAATATCTTATTTTCCTTTTTTTTTCTCCCTATGGAGACAGGAAGAAGTTTTGATACAAGAGAAAGAAACAATCCTCAGACAAAAACATACCTGGTTCCTTACCATGTAGATCAATTAGAGCAACTTAACTGAATTTTCTGCCGGTCTCTTCCTGTACAAATCGCTCCTGTTCAGAGATCCTCACAATTGCTGTGAAATTCAAAGAAAGAAAGTAACTTTTCATAACCTGTGAGTACATACAATACTAACATAAGACACCAAATTATTAATAAAAGTCATAAATCAAAGTTCATCACTTTTCTTACCAAATACATTAAACACATCTGGATAAAACCACTTTCTACTCCACAAACGAACTTGGAAAGAATATATTTGGATTACTTAGTGGGATTCCCTTCCCACAACACATTCATAGTGTCTCTTTCTCTGTTTCTCTCCTTGTTTTTAAAGCAGGATTACTTTGTTTTAGACCTGTCATTCTTCCAGGTTGCTAACTGGACAAATTCTGTCTTTGAATATGCAATTGAGTCAGCCTGTTTCAAGAAATATTACGCAGAGTGTATCAAAGCAAATACAACTGCAGCTCAATTTTAATAATGCTTTTACTTTCATTATAAAGTATGTTCAATGGCAGTTTCAAAATTAAATGAAAATTTTTACGTGACATCTTAGCACCCATAGGATAATTGAAAAAGAAGGTTGGCTGAGTAGATTAGGTTATGAAAACTAAGATGTCAAAAGAATTTTTGTTTAAAAAAATGAAATCTCTTTTCAATTTGGGGAACATACGGCAGAAGAATCATAGATCTGGAAGAAAGGAACATTAAGCATTCAACAGGTACAGCTCTCTAGTATGGAAGAAATTTTAAAACAAGAACAACTGCAACAAGCAAGAGGCTCACATTGCCTCCTTGAGCGTGAGAAGGATTCTCCATATTCTTCAGATCATTATACGGAAGATCTCTCCTCAAATCAGAGCAAAAAACATGACATTCAGTTTCGGCATTGTTGCATTTATTGCTCAAAGCATTTAATTTTACTTGTTTTATGGATGTTCTGTATGAGACTCCTTATTTCTCCCATAACTGCAGTAGGTTGGCAGTACTTATGTTAGCAATTTGATGTTGAAGGTTCAATGCAGTCACTTGACCTGGAGTTTGCGGTGAAGATAAACAAGGATTATTTATTTTACCAGCAGAGTAGCCCTGATGAGACTATGGGATTTCCTTCTAAGTAAGGATTTCCAGACGTCCCAATCAAGATGATCAATACAATTAAAAATGAAATAAATTACCATTTTCATTAAATATATGGAAATAGCATATTCATTTTTTTAACTAAAAATGAAATGGATTAGCATATTCTTAGTGGTTATTTTAAGATTAGATATCAAGAATGTAATTGCTCAGTTGTGGCAAATGTGATCGACCCATCCCCTCAATTAATCCTTTTTTTTTTTTTTTTTTGAGACAGGTTCTCACTCTGGTGCCCAGACTGGAGTATAGTGGCATGATCATGGCTCACTGCAGCCCCAACCTCCTGGGCTCAAGTGATCCTCCCACCTCAGCCTCCCATGTAGCTGGAACTACTGGGATATGCCAGTATGCCCAGCTAATTTTAAAATTTTTTGTAGAGATGGAGTCTCGCTTTGTTACCCAGGCTGGTCTCAGACTACTGACCTCAGGTGATCTTCCCTCCTTTGCCTCCTACAATACTGGGATTATAGGCATGAGCCACCACATCCAGTCTAACTATTCTCATTTGAACAAAAGTTGTTTTTATGTACAAAGCAAAATTAATTTTAAATATTTTCTAACCTAATGTATACTAATTATTAGTAGATATACAAAATGAGCATTTTAATATGCCAGAGTCAAATTCTATTTTATTTTATTAAAACAAAAACACACAAGATAGATATGTTTCTTTTCATATGTCAAAGGTAAGAGTCATCGAGGAGCAACCTATCCCCAGGTCACCTGCCATACATTGGCAAAATCCAGGCCTTCAATTTATATTCTGTGTTTTTACATATTTTTTTTTGTAATGTTGCTACCTATGTTAGTAGCCCTTAACCATTCTAATCTCTCTAACCACAGTATTAAAATTTATTGAGTCCACCAAGAACTTTGGTTTACGTAAGATATATCAATGACTTTGCCATATCAGGATTTAAAATGAGAAAAACTTAAAATACGTATTTAGTCATTGAATAATAATAAATCTATTACATGTTAACAAAAATAATATACCTTCTGATACCTATGCTTGTCAAAGCAAAATATTATTGAGAAGGGGGTCATTCTTTTAAAGTTTTTAATGAATTTCTTTAGTATCTGGCTTAAAAGAAGACAGCTGAATTTCCATGTCTGCTTCTGCATTCAATGTAGTGCAATATATTGCTTTTGTTAATATATGTACTAAAAATAACTGGCGTCACACAGATACATTTTTGGAAAAGGAAGGAGTATTTTATTTGCCTTTCTAGATAACTGTGATGTGTATAAATAACCCAAAGTCAATAGTTAGCAGTTTCTTAAAGGTTAGTTCCTGCAGGAGTGGCTCACTACCCAGCACTTTGGGAGGCTGAGGTGGGAGGATTGGTAAAGGCCAGGAGGTTGAGACTGCAGTGAGCCAAAATCATGCCACTTCACTCTAGCCTGGAAGACAGAGACAGACTCCATCTCTCAAAAAAAAAATAGTTGCAAATGTAGACTCTCAAACCATAGCAAACTTTGTACACTTGTGAGAGAGTAAGAGGAGTGAAAAAAACATTTTATTCTTGATCTCACAAAACCTCTGCAAGTCCATTGCACTTACTTCAGGGGTTCTCAGGTCACATTTTAAAAACCATTAATCTTTAATATTAAGTAATATTTGTGAGTATGATTTTAATGATTATATAATATCTTAAGAATAAATCTCCCATCATGATAATCCTCCACTTACTATTTGTATTCCAGATTTTATTTATATAAATAATCCCATCCTTTTTTCATATTTCTATTTATGGTGGATGTTTTTTAAATACTGCTAATGAGTAAGTATGGCTCTTATAAGGCATTACTGCATATGATCAAATATCTTTCGTAGCTGTTACAGTCAATCTTGCTATGAGTATTCTTGTGCATCAGGTGAACATTTCTGTTGAGTATATACCTCTTGATGGAATTGCTGGGTCATGCATTTACTCATGTTCCACATGAAGAGCTACTTCCCAACAATTTTCTAGAGTTTTCCCAGTTGACCCTCCCATTAGCATTATAGGACAGTTCTAATTGCATCATCTTCTTGACACAGTTGGTAATTGTTTTAGTGTATTTTCCATTTTACCTAATATGGTACAAGTGGAATTGTATCCCATTATGGTTATAATTTTCATTTCCCTGATGACTCACAGATGAGCAAATTAATACGTTTATTGGCAATTTGAGTATTCTGTTTTGTGAGATGTTTTTTCAAGTTTTGCTCATTTTTTAAATTTGATTGTCCACCTTAGACTTACTTGCTTGTTAGAGTTCTTTATGTATACCAGAGATCAGTGTCTTGTTGACTGTGTGTATTTAGATCTACTCCCATGATGGGGCTTGCTTTTGCAATATGTTAATCACTTTAAATAATTTGTAATATATTTCAGTATATATATTTCCTCTTTTGTAGTTACTGCTTTTTTCTTATTTCTTTATGAAATCAGCCCAACTCCAAAGTCAACCTGATGTTCTCTTGTTTCCTGCTAAAATAGTTTTCATTTTAATATCAATTTAAATATGAATTCCATCTGAAATTTGATTTTGTGTTTTGTCTGAAATAGGATTCCATGTACACTTTATTTTCCAGGAAAGAATATAATTACATAGCACCAACCACCAATTTTTCCACTGAACTGTATTAATTAATATAGTTTTTTGTTAGGTCTTGATTTTGTGAATATAAATTCCCCAGATTTATTCTTCCAGACCACCTTCACTAATCTTGTGCTTTTGCATTTCTGTAATTTTAGTATCATTGTATCAATTTCTAAAACAAAATTCTTGGATTTTGAATTTTGGTTGAGATTGAAATGAATTTATAGAAAAATTTTGGGAATATTGACATCTTCACAATATTGAATGTTTCAGTCTGTGAACATACGATTGGGAAATATTGTTCATCTTTCATTAGATTTATTTCTAGTGTTTGATATTATTAACATTGCAATATTGTATTGATATTGCAATAGTAAGTGGCAGTTTTTAGAAATGTAAATTTTCCAATTGTTTGTTGCTAGAACATAAAATACAATTACTTTTTTTAATGACCATGTGTCCAGGAAACTTGTTAATTCTAAATATTAATTTTAAATAGTTTGTTGATTCTTTGGATGTTCCAGATATACCATCACGTCTGCAAACAATGACAGGCTTGATTTCACCTTTAAAATTCACGTGCAATTCTTTTTTAGCCTTGTAACAGAGGCTAGATAATTCAGAACTTCATTGAATAAGAATAACAAGCATCTCTTGATTTTTCTTGATCTAAGAGGTGGTGGAGGGATGTTTTCAATATCCCAGCATTGAAAATCATGGCTTTATTAATAGTTTTTCTTTTTCAATTAAAAATGTGCTCTCCCTTTGGAGGCCAAGGTGAGAGGATGGCTTGAGCCCAGGAGTTTGAGACCAGCCTAGGCAATATCGTAAGATCTCATCTCTACAAAAAAAATTTAAAAATTAGCCAGGTGTGGTGACACATGCCTGTAGTCTCACCTAAATTGTGAGGCTGAGGGAGGAGGATTCATGAAGTGAGCCATGATCACGCCACTGTACTCCAGCCCTCGCTACGGAGTGAAACCCTGCCTCAAAATTATTAATTAATTAATTAGTTAAATAAAAAGGACTCTCATTATTAGTTTAATAGTAATTTTTAATAAAGAATGGGTATTAAATTTTTAATGTTTTCTGAAATTATCTGATGATATGGTTGTTATGACTTTGATTCTTAATGTGGTTAAAGGAAACATTGATTGATAACCGATTGTTATCCAACTTCAGAGTTTTATGATAAGCCCTACTTGGTTGTCATGTAGCATCCTTTATATGTATTATGGAATTTAAGTTTCTAATATTTGTTAATTTTTGAGAGAAATTAGTCAGAAAT